TGGCCCAAAGCAAAGGGGTTCTCCAGCCTCTCCCGTGCCTTTCACTTGCTGGAGGACTCTTACTGTGGACTAAAGGGGAACATGTTTGTGGGAGCTTGTTAAAAGACTGGCGGCACACCGCTGTTTGTGTAACAGCAGGTACGTTAAAGACGAATAAAAGAGCCGGTGGTTCCCTCGCCCTGCCGAACCCCCTCTTGCAGGAGGTCACCGTGTTAAATGGTGGGGCTGGGTTTTCGGGAGCAGCCAGATAATTTTACGGCCCGTAAACAGAGGTGGCATCACACGCTAAAGTGAGGGTAATGAGATCTCATGCTCCAGGGAGTACGGTGAGGAGGGAGAGAGGGAGGCGGCGAAGAAGCCCCCACTCCGACGGACAGCGCTGCACATTTGGCTGGGGGCTCTCAGCGCTGCTCGGCTTGCTCCGAAGCCACCGCCTTTGGAGCTTTGGACACGGGGCTGGCTTCAGCAATTAGCTCTTTCCAAATGTCAGTTCCCGTGTTTGTTACCCTCTGATCGTTACGCCTTCCATGGGGACCCTTGCCTTTTCTCCCAGAGGAGCCGCAGCACCAAGCCCTGTCCCCTGTGGGGCTGGCAGAGTCACCATGCATGCTACTGCTGGCACTGGTGGTGAGACCCACAGCGCCGGGAGGCCAGCGGGCCCTGGCCAGCCTGGGCTGCTGGGGGTGGTCCGGCACCCAGGACCACTCTCCTGCACTCCTGGGAAGCAAAGCCCACCCAGCGTGGGCAGCAGCACAGAGTCCCGCACTCTCACCGTGTCGGCAATGTCCCGAGGAGAGCATACATCGCGTTCAACACAAAAACCAGCTTCACCCAGAGGTGCATCCCCACTCGCTCACCTTCTTCTTGACAGCCAGGGATTGTTCCGTAGCCAGAATAACCAGGAGCTTCTGCAGCGCACCCCCCTCGATTGCTTCTATCTGGACTTTGGGGTTACTGCAAGGGAAAAAGCGAAAGGCAGGTCACCAACAGAGTGGGGCACGGCAGGGTGGGACAGACCCCGGGTCTGCCTGGGGCAGCACCCCACAAACGAGGGTCAATCCAGCCTGATCCCAGAGCAAACCCCCGCCCAGCTCCCACTGACTGTGGCTCATGGTTAGGGAGAAGCTGTGAAGCCCTGCAGACCACCCCAAACACAGTACATGACCGATGCAACCTGAAACAATGGCAACAGGGCTGGAGAAGGGCACACCGGGCCATCCGCACCACCCCACCACGTGCCCACGTCCTACCCACCTTCCTTCCCTGGCGAGGAGCCCTGCCTTGTGTTTCCCTTACACCTATTAATCCTCTCGCTTTGCATCGCATCTATTCCTTAACGGGCTTTTATTTTGGCTCTCACTTTCCCCCTCTCACCCACCCCTTGCCTGCTGTTAACCTGCTGATTTATTTAAACACTCCTCTGCTGCAGCACCAGCCCTCCAGCTCACCTAGAGGAAGGCCCGGCTTGTTTCCCGGAGCCTCTCAATCACAAATTATGCCTCGTCTCACCACCCACACACCTCTTGCTTGAAGTTCTCCAAGGACTATAAAGGGCTAAATCCATCCTTCCGTCTGCAAGAACCAGGCTACAATTTCAGGTCTGGATGTGAATGGCTGCCCCAGGGGCAGGCAGATGAAAACAAGCCTTGCCCACCATCCACGCTGACCCCGGGTACCGGCCAGGCAGACACTTTGCAAACCCCCTTCTAGTACATTTTTGAAGGTGGTGGAGAGGTTAGGTGCTACAGGTTCCCTCTTCAGCAGGGCATTCACAGTCAGAGCACAACGTACTGGCTGTCTGCATCCCTGATCCCAGGTCTCTTGTGCTCCGAGGAAGAGCTCCAGCACTTCAGCCTCTACTTGACTTTGAAGTAGCAATTGCACTGCGGCCAGACAAAGGTCACGCGTTCCTGCTACGGCAAAACACCCACAGCTCTTACCGCTACCAAAAAGCTGCTGGAGCAGCCAGTGCCAAGCATCATCCAAGAAATAAGTGAGACAGAGGTAGACAAGGTCATAAAAAAACAAAACCAGAAGACAAATGGACTTGGGCAGGGAGCAGCTTTGAGTTAAACCCACGGCTCCCAGAAATACAGCAAACCACTAAGCTCATCTATGTCAACCAAGGCGCCGGGCAATCTCTCCAATCCTCCCTGCTCCGTCCAGGCTTTGCTTCTCGCACTGTTAGGAGTCATCCACAGCTCAGAGGTAGCAGAGCTGGTGCGCGGGTTCCCCACTGCAATTACCAGGCTGACCTCAAGGCAGGAAAACGGGGGGTCTTGAAAGCCACCTTTCACTTCTCCTTCTTCACCCGCTTGCTGCGGCAGGCATCCAGGTAGAGCCACGGTGCAGGCACCCTGCCGAGGAGGGGGACATCTGTGACCTGCCCAGGACAGGGCAGGAAGGAGAAAGAAAAAACCCAGGAGCTTCAGGATCCTCCTGCAGAAGAGATTTTCACAGCGTGGTCCACACATGCGCCCGCAGACCCTCGTGTGCCAGCACTGCGGCAGTCCCAGCATCCCTGGGAGCATACCAGCTTCTGGCAGTGTCTGGGTCCTGTTGGGACCTGATGCACGTCCTAAGATGTGTTTATCCCCCATCCTCAGCATGTCAACATGTGCAGCAGAGTCTCCTCCTGCAGCAACAAGATGTTATTTTCCACCTTGACATGGTGCCTGGCCTCTGATTTTGGAGAGTCAGGAGTCAACGCAGGCAAACAGCATCAGCCCCAAAACCTTCAGCTGCCCCCAGGCAACCCCTGGACCCAAGGCAATTTTCCTCCAGATGACAACCACAGCTCTCATCTCCAGCCATACCTGCAGTCACACGGACAGCCACGGCCCCAACAGCACAGGGACAGTACGGCAGCCCCGCAGCATCACTGCACCCCGTCCAGCCACAGCAACTTGTCCCAGGACAAAGATGGGAGGAGTACAGCGGTGGGATGGAGGACAAAGAGCTCCCAGAGCACCCAGGGCTTGGCTGAAGAAGCCGTCTAACATTCCCAGCAGGTAGAAAGGTGCTAAGTGTGAGCCTCACCTCAAAAGAGCCAGAGATAAGGAACATCTGCCCTACAGAAGTGAACAAATCCTGCACCTCCTTTTGGTCGAGGAGGATGTACAAGCCAGACACAGCCAGGGCTTGTGATCAGACCCCTTTGGGAGTCCAGAGACGCAATACCCAGAAGGCAGCGAGGAAACGCAGCAGTGAGAAGCAATACATGTCCCAAGGCCACTGAAGGTGCCCTCGGCAGTGTGTTGGGCACAGCCGGTGCTCGAGCCGGGATGGTTGAGCACGACCACGCTCATCACAACAGCACGAAACCTTCTGCAGAGGCTGGGCAACATGAGCAGAGCTGCCAGGGTCATGATCAGAGCCCTGGGCATCTCCAAAAGCCACCCAGCTGCTACAGGAGAGGCACAGATATAGCCCTCCTGCTGTGACAAGCTCCACTGCAAGCCAGGCAGGAAAGGGAAGAAGAGGTTTTTTCCCAGCTCTGTTTTTCCAGCGATAACAGCTTTGGTCTCTGCCTTTCTGTACGGTTGGGTTGTGCTTGTTTCTGCTTCGAGTTTTTCTAGGGGAAGTCACGGTGCAGAGGTTCAGCTTTGCCTGGCACATCATCAGCCACGCTGTCAGGCATGTTTTCAACGCCGGGGCTCCGTGACTGGTGTGAATGAGAGGTAAAGAAACTCCAGCTGCATTTCCAGATCCCAAAATGGAGTTGGCAACTCTGACACTCAGAAAATACAACTTCTGATCTGAAAACCTAACGAAATTTCACATGCAAGTCACCCTGGGCAAGGGAGACCAGAGTAAGTGCAGAACAAGCTCGCAGGCAGGCACTCTTCTGAGTATAACTGCACCGAAAGGAGAACCTCCTCTGCCAGAGAGCTCTTAGTGCCATTCAAGAAAAATGTAAAGTTTGGGATATGCAAGTTCTTTTGTCACATCTATCTAAAATAAATAATAAAAACTCTACAGCAAGGGATACAACTGAAAAACTGGTATGCTTTTTAATGCTTGGCTAGTCACCTGGAGGATTAGATCTAATTAAAGTCTCTGAACCATGGAGTTTTTGCCAAGGAGCACCTCTAGAGGTTAGAAAGCCTGCCTGGATGGTAGGCGTGCTGCTCACTTCTCAATGTTTCTGTTGTTTAATGTCTCTACTATCAATAGTCTGGGCTTCAAGCTTGTTTGAGAGTTTAGAAAACTCAGCACAGATCTGTACAAATTACACTGTCAAGCCCAGGGAAAAGCAGCCTGAACAAAACAAATACAATGAGACAGACTGTGGAGCGTTCGCATGGGAAATCTGACTTGTGCTAATGTGCTAATGGATAAGGTGATGGCGGCACCAGCAATGAAATTCACTGAAATGAAATTCTGAGGCTGGGACAGGAATAGAATATGGCCTACGATGACAGCCCATGATGGTACAGTGACAGCAGAGATTTGGGTGCGGTCAAAGGACGAGATTAACCAGCCTCAAACCTGGGTGAGGAACAGCCACAAGGCTACGAGGACTCGACACAAGGAATGTGCTCGGGTTCAAGCAGCTTCCCAAGAGAGACCCCCAGTTTGCCCTGGGAGGACCCACCCTGACTGTGGGGTCACACCACATCCCCTCCAGACATGGCCCTCACCGCACATCTGAAGTCCTTGTGCCTCCCAGCCACGTTGCCCACATCCATCACATCCATCTCTCTCATTCTGCTCCTGAAGAGCAGAAAACAAGGCTGGGTACAGGCTCACCGTGATCGATCAGTGCAAGAAACCACCGGCCAGGGTTAACGGGCACGCTGCTGGTGTTCATGCTGGCCAAGATGCGTTGAGCAGGGATGAAGAGCTCGGGGAGACCAGTGGAAATCTCTACTGCCCGCAGATGCCCACACCATCGTCTCTGAGCAGCTCCTGAAAAAGCTCTGTCCCTTGCAAGGTAGGCTTTGTCCTTCAGCAGAAGTTCCTGAACTTCTTGAGACTTGGGCCATCCATCCCAGACTGTGAGAGAACCTCTGAACAGCTCTGGGCACGGGCCACCAGCCCATCTCGATATGGACCCTGGAGATGATACCCTCTTTCCCAGGCTGTAGACTATGGTCTGCTCCCTGTGCTTTCAAATCCCAACTCAGGTTGATCCTCCATCCAACTCAAGATGTCCCTGCTGCCTGCTGACCTCCTTGCTTCTCCCCACCTCTCCCAGGGACCTCGGCAGACAGGCTCACCTAGCAGCAGTGGGGCAGTGACGGACCCACACTGTCACGAGCACACCGCACCACTTGAGACGCTCCATTTTGACCGTACGACAAACAATATTTGTGTTTCCCACTTCTGTCTCCTTCCAAAGCTCCTAGAGCTGTGACTTTGCCGAGCGCAAATTTAACGTGTCATTTCATCAGCCCAGCACATTTCCGTCTCGGTGGGTGGAGGAGGGGGAGCATGCCCTTCGGTGGAGAGGGGAAAAAATACAAAAGCAGGGGAGGGAAAGCCAACAGAAAACCTCCGTCTGAGCCTGCCTGCTGCAGCTCACAACGGCAGAAGGAAACACTCCATTTTCTACCAGTTTATATTTCACTGCGTTGGAGTTACAACTCCCCACGAGGGGCCAGAAATTATTACAGTTAAGGCTTGTGTGCCAGAACACCACAAGCCTCAACAGCGCACGGAGAAAGTAATAAAAACAAGGGCTGACGCACTGTGATCAGCACTATCGGAGTAAAATTGAAATGAAGTTGTCGCAGTGCCCAAGTGCCCGCTGGCAGGTCCTGCCCTGGGCAGGTGGGGAAGGCAGAGATGTGACCCAGCGTCTTCCACAAGCTGCAGGGTCGGGATGTTTGTGCCTTTCTTCTTCCATTAAAGCTCTCTGTGGAAGCAGCAAGACCTTAGGATGGGGATGACTGGCCAAAGGACCCACCAGAATGATGGAGGCTTCCTGGAGGAGAGGTGGTCTCACAAGC